CCAAGCCCAGATGTGTGACATGGGACAAGTTCTGTCACTGCTTTATGTCTCAATTTCTCCATCTGTAAAATGGGGATGAGTCTGACCTCCTTTGTTAAGTGCTTTGAGATCTATTGAGGATCTCAGTAAGATCTTTGTAAAAGCTAGGTGTCATTATTGCTGTTATTAGTTTGAAGAAAAATTCTTCTAACCATTAAGACATGAAGGACAAGCCATTCAATGAAAATGATCAAGCCATGTAGCTAATGTATGTATTATACATGTCTCACTAGTGCTATGAATCTGCTGATCTCCATCTGCAATTCACTCATTTCTTTCTGAACTAATGGTAATTTAAAGTTAATCATTTCCCAACTTTTGTGCCAAATTCAGGTACTTTGTATTTCTTCCTATTGTAAATGCAATGTCTCTAAGATAAACTTGTTTCAATTACTTTTGTTAGTAGTTGGGGGGGTATAGAAAAACCATTCAGAAGCCTTTTTGTATTTAAAATCACTGACAGACTCAAGAGGCCTGAAGATCTTAAGTTTCTTGAACCTGGATCAGCATAAAAATCCCCAAAAAGGAGTGACAAGGTCACGAAGTGCTATAGGTGCTTATTATCTTAAAAGGGCCCACCTGGTATTTTCTGTGAATAGCTTTTTTAATATCAGGGTTTTAAACAGCATTGCTTTTAGCATTGTTTTAAATTATATTGGATAAAATGCCCATTCTGGAAATGCTTATTTTCTTCTCCAAGCTTCTGCAACAGGTACGTGCCTCTTAAAATGTTCCTTTCATCAGTTGCTATTATTATTATTATTAGAGATTGTAATTTGTCCAGTGATTTTCTTCACCTGCCCATTCCCAAATTTTCTCTGTGATCCAGTTAACCATCATTTGACAGGTTCCTTGAAACAGTTTCTCATATCTCCCATTGATGGTGTTGAATACCAGAGATAGAGACAGACAAAAAAATGCAATAAGTACTGAGGGGCCAGAGCATGTATCCTGTGAGAATCAGATTTGGTGCGGGGGAGCTCACAAATAAGATGGTTGGTTTTTTTCAGTTTAAACATTTTTTCATGCAAAAAAATTTTGGTCAAAACAATTTTTTATGGGACATGTTTGATTTCATTGACTATTGGAGGTAAGGCAGGGGTTCATTAAAAATAGATGAACACTGAACACCTTAGGAGTTTCAGATACCAAAAGTTGAGTACTTTTAGTTTCAAGTGTTTTGTGTTTTCAAAAAAATGTAAAAAATGTTTAAAAAGGGGCATTTGATTAAAAGAATGTTTATTATAATCAACATTTTTTACAAGAAAAAAAGTCCTGACCTACTCTAGTAATAATGAGAAAAAGGGTCTGATGAGCTATCTTAATTGTCACTGAAGTCAAGGAAAGCTTTGGTATGCCTGAAAAACAAACTCACAGTCACTGTAGCTAACATCTCTCCACACAACACATCAGCATATTACCATAGTCATAAGAGGTCATCTCAGCAGTAATGGAACAAGTGGCAATGAAGTGCAGTGATAAGTGTAGAATCAGGGAAACAGAATCAACAAGAGTGGCTATTCAAGCTGGGGCGACAGGAAAATGGATTAAAGGAAGCAAGACAACACGGAGCATAATAGGTTTTTATGTGTGACATACTCCTCAGTAAACATCTATACCAGACAAAAACATTTTCTTTTGGTCAGTTTCATGTCAATAGGACAGAAATTGTAAGTCATTTGTACCAGCTGGTCCTCACTTCAAATGGGCTTGCGTATACATTTTGTCACTTGGCTTGCACTGAAACAGGGTTTACAGAAGGTGAAAACTTCAGCAACGCATGAAAAACGCATTTCTAAAATAAACAAATTCCAGTCCTATGACACAACTCGTTCTTACTGGCATGTCAGAACCAGTTGGTGACCCCCACCCTGGTTGCACAAAGATTTTGAGGGCCTTGAATTAATTACCTAATGCTTTGTCTAAATTGAGTAAAACCGGTAATACTGGATTGGTGACCCTAGGCTAATTCAACCTGTCCTTTCTTAGAGCTCAGCAGACCCAACCAGCCAGACCTGGTACAATGGTATAAACAATATCTGGACAAGAAAACAACGGACTGATTCTAAACATGTTTTTTACATTACTTTCGGTTATCTTTCAACTTCTCCAGTGCAGTGGGCTACTTTAAATTCTGCTCACAAAGTGAGGCTAGCTCTGCCATCAGAGGATTCCTGTCCACTGGGGAATCCATAGATGTATGCCTGAGGTGGCTTTCAGATGAGACAAAGGGGTTGATACAGCACTGTGCTTTAGTACTTCCTTTTGGACATACTAAAGCATGGTGCAGTACAGATGGTTACTGTACTGTGTGCATGGTGCATGGGTAAATTTTGCAGTTATGTTGCCGTAAACGTGCACTGTACTGGAGGACCACGCCACCACAGTGACATAGCTGGTGATCACATGTAGACCCATGTGATCATTGTGTCGCTATGTTACTATAGGGCAATGTGTAGATGCACCCAGGGAGATAAATACTACTATCTTCATTTTACAAACAGCTAAGCTGAGATGCAAAGTTGTGAAATGATTTCTCCAATGTCACAATAGGGACACTGGAAAGTAACAGAGTTAGAAATAGAACTCAGGTCTCAAACTTTTACTTCACTGGGTCATCCAATATACTGCACTAGTTCACTCCCACCAAAAGTCAACTTCATGACACACATACTTTATGATCACCTATACATTTTGGACTATACCTTATGATAAATGGAACAGGAGAGCAGACATTTAATAACAACTTACAGATCTACTGTTATTGAAAGAACTTAATCATAGCAGGAAATACAAGAACAGAGCTCAGATCAACACATTTCTGTGTACTTCATGGTTATATATTTGTTTTTAAATATATATTACTAGAATTGCTTTATATGAAAATATGTATGTTTAGCCTTCTAAAATGTCTAATTAATATCTCTCAAAGAATAGTTTAAATAATGATTGCCCCAGGGGTCAGTCCCAGGGCCAGTTTTGTTCAATATCTTCACCTGGAAGCTGGCATAGAAGTCTATAAATGACACCAAGCTTGGGGGAGTAGTAGATATGCTGAAGGGTAGGGCTAGGATTCAGAGTAATCTTGGCAATTTGGAGGATTGGGCCAAAAGAAATCTCATGATGTTCAATAAGGACAAGTACAAAGTCCTGCACTTAGGATGGAATAAACCCATGTACCAGGATAGGCTAGGGGGCTGACTGGCTAAGCAGCAGCTCTGATCAAAAGGACCTGGGGGTTATAGTGGACAATAAGCTGAATATGAACCAGCAGTGTGCCCTTGTTACGAAGAAGTCTAATGGCATACTGGGCTGCATTGGTAGGAGCATTGCCAGCAAATCAAGGGAAGTGATTATTTCCCTCTATTCAGCATTGATGAGGCCACATCTGGAGTACTGTGTTCAGTTTTGGGCTCTCCAGTGCAGAAAGGATGTGGACAAATTGGAGACAGCCCATCAGAGGGCAACAAAAATGTGGGCTGGGGAACATGTTTCATGAGGTGAGGCTGAGAGAGCTGGGCTTATGTAGTCTGGAGAAGAAAAGACTGAGAGGGGATTTAATAGCAGCCTTCAGCTTCCTGAAGGGTTGTTCCAAAGAGGATGGAGCTAGATCAGAGGCAGGCAAAATGTGGCCTGTGGGCCGGATTCAGCCTGCCAGGCTATTCTATCCGACTTGTGGGGCCCCTCTAAAATTTAGACAATTATTACCTGCTGGTGATTGCCTGTCTGAAAACCAACAAGGCATCGGTGGCACAAGGTGCCAGTGGCATGAGCTACCAGCTGCAGCGGGAACCAACCAACCCAACCCCAACCTGACCCATCCCATCCTGCTCCAACCCCACCCACCAGAAGCTTCTGGCTAGCAGAGGCTTTTGCCCTGGTGACCTTTTGGCTGTTCCCTAGCCCTTCCTTGCCAAAGAGTTGAAATTCAGGTCAAAACGGGTGGGGGGACAATGGGTGATCATGAGACTCTGGCTCTGTGCCTCCATGTACTGGTCCTGGCTAGAGTGCTAGGAGAACCACATGGAGGCACGGAGACAGCCCAGTCTGATGGCATGGGACTGCCCATGGTTCTGGCACTCTAGCATGCCACTGAGCTGGGCTGCGCTGGCTGCATGCCATGCTGTACATGTCCCAGCTATGCAGATGGGAACCACATGCTGCTGGGAGCAGATGGGCCGGGCTGGCTCTGTGCTGTGCTGTGTGGGTCCTGGCAATGCAGTGGGGAACCATGTGCTGCCAGGATGAGATGGGCCTGGCCAGGCTGGCTCTGTGCCACACCATGCAGGTCCCAGCTTTGCAGCCAGGAACTGCACAGTGCAGTTGGGCTGGGTCGGGCTGGCTCTGTGCCATGCCATGTGGGTCCTGGCCTTGCATCCAAGACCCACATGGCATAGAATGGAGCGAGCCTGGTCCATCCCATCCACTCCCACCAGCATGCAGTTCCCCACTGCATGGCCGGGACACATGTGGCATGGTACAGAGCCAGCTCGGCCTGTCCTGTCCCCTCCCAGCATCATGCAGTTATCTGCTGCATGGCTGGGATCCATACAGCAGGACAGAGCCTGCCTGACCTGGCCTGGCCTGGCCCCACCTGGCAGCATGCAGTTCCTGGCTGCAAGTCCAGGACCTATATGGTGTGGCATGAGACCAGCCTGGCTCGGCCCAGTACAATACAATTCTGGCTGCAAGGTTGGGACCTGCCATCCCCTCTGTGCTGTGCCACTTGAATCTATGAATCCATGAAACTTGGGTCCCAGCCATGCAGTGGGAAACTGCATGATACCAAAAGGGGATGGGTTGGGGATGGCTGGGTCCATGCTGTGTCATGCAGGTCCCAGCCTTGCAGCTGGGAACTGCGTGCTGCCAGGAGGGGATGGGATGGGATGGGCTGGGCTAGCTCCTTGATGTGCTGTGTGGGTCC